CTAATTTAGTACTAATTTAGTACTAATTTAGTACTAATTTAGTACTAATTTAGTACTAATTTAGTACTAATTTAGTACTAATTTAGTAAACAAAGGACAAATTCTAAGAAATTTCTCATGAAAAGGAGTATGTAGATTCGGATAACGTATTGCACAATTATAACGATAATGGTAATGAATAACAAATTATTTAAGCTAAGAAAAGATCGTTAATTTGATCTGTAATGTGACTTTACAAAAAAAAAAATAACCATGTAAAAGATTAACACGAATATAAAAATTCCAACCAACCAAAAAATTTATTACTTTATTAAGATAATCTTTAATTTTTTTTAAGAATTTCTCGTAAAGCTTTAGGTAATCACTAAATAAAACAGTAGATTCGGTCGGATACCTAGATTAGGATAGCCGATAAGTAAATGCATATAGCACGTCCGTTATCAGATGTCTAAGACAACAAAGGTTAGAATATTGCCGTCTATAAATTTCTAAAACTATTCAAATGATTCAAAATAATATTTATTGCTAAAATTCCGGAAAATCACACATGATAAGATATTATTTAATTTCTTATTTTTTTATCCCGGACTTTCGTTTCCTAGTTTAGTTAACTCTTTTGAAAACCCAAAATTTATTCTGAATAATCAGAATTTACTAAAATGAACGTTAATAAACCTTATTCAATAAATATCATTTCGTTTTATGATCAAGTGCCAAACTTTAAAATAATTACTTTAATTAAATGATAAATTCTATTACAATTCTTAGTCAATACATAGTTCTTAAACGTCAATTCATAATGCTTTCGGTGTAATTGGATGCTACTAAACAATCCCCAATCGGTTAGTTGATTTATATTGTATATAATTTTAATAAATAAGCTTTTTTTTGTGAAACAAGTCATGATTCGATGATTTTAATATCTGCAATCAGAGCTATGACTCAAAAAATTTTAATAACTAATTTTGGACTAACTTGTACATAATGTTATTCAATAAATAGTACTGTACTTTGCATTAAAGTTTTCTTCTAAAATCAGGCGATAGATCTTTGCTTTTGTATACCATATTTATTTAATTTTTTTACTCCGTAAAATTAATATCATTGATATAAATTAGTATCATTGAAATATTAATAAGCTGAGCGGTTTTGATAGATACTTGTAAATTCACTCTACGCTGCATAAAAAAAAAGTAGTATTACTTATAAAAACCAAGCCCATTAATAAACTCATTAATAAACTTATCAATAAACTCATTAATAAACTAAATACATTATTTTAAATTTATGCAACTATACTTACAGTTGCAGTAAGTACACAAAATTATAACAAATATTATAACAAATATTATTATATAATATATATATATATTTACGAAACAAATTCTTACAATTTATTACAAGTAAAAAATTTTTTTCTGGTTTCGTTAGTATATTATTACAGTATTAAAAAAAAGATGTATTCCGTGTAACCTTTAATTATTTCTACAAAATAAGTTACGGAGTTAAGTTTCACAAATTTACAAATTAGAACAATTATATTTGTTTATTAGGTAAGATCATTAACCCAAGCATCTGAGAATTTATAATGCACGGAGTAAAATATTTGCTGTAACTTCACTGAGTATAACAATTAATTACAATAATTAAAGTAATTAAAGTACGTATGTATAGGTATACATTATTTTCCAAGTAGAAACGACTAATTATTTATTTGAACAAATAAGATCATTTGACGATCTGGTGATCGCACAAATAAATGGTTTGTCAGTGCACTTATTTAGTTTTAATTATTACGCAACGTTATAAGTACTGGTGCAAATATACATACACAAAATTTCCATATTTGGTTTGGTTAATTCACAAGGTAATGCATTAGTATGCGTGACGAAATAAAGAACTACGTATTATTAAGTAAATCAATTAAAATTTTTAATTTAAATATCATCAATTTTTTCTTCTTTTTCTCTTTAGCGATCCTTCTCGTTTTCATTTTTTTTTTACATTTAAAAAATATATATATATATAATTTATCGGTTTAACCAACCGTTATGTATTTTTAACAATCCTTTAAAAACTTTTATCTTTTATCCGAAAACTTCTAACCTTCTAAATCTCAATCTCTCGTTTGGATCTTAATAATAATATCCCTTAAATACATAAATACATACATATATATTCCTTTTAATTAATTAATTAATTGGTTAATATGGGAAACGCGTTGGCTCGTAAAGCTCCCCGGAATAAATATGAAAAAGGCAACAGTGATAACTCTTCTGAAACTGATAGCATTTCCTCTTCCAACATTAAATTTATAGGTGGAAGACCTTACTTTAATGAAGAAACATCTGTTTATTTTGTATGTTTTAAAAAATGATTATCAATTATATTATTAAATTATTTAAAATTTTTTTAATGAAATTTTTTTAATAAATTATTAATAAATTATTAATTTTATCATAAAGTTACCTACAGATTGGGAAGAAGCAGATAGAATTCAAATGGAACATTTTGCAATGAGACATGCTTTTGGTGGCAATTATACCGCACCTCTATCTGAAATTATAAAACCTGGAAGCAAAATTTTGGTATGTATATTATCATGAATAATATTATCATGAATATTTTTTAATATCAAATTTTAATTAAATTTTAATCGTATTCTTAGGATATTGGTTGTGGTTCTGGTCACTGGAGGTAAATATCTCTTAAAATATTTATTGAAACTTTTATTTTTTTCATTGTCTTATTATTTCATTATTTCAACTAGCTTCGAAATAGCACAAGATTTTCCTGATGCAAATGTTTATGGAGTAGATATCTCTTCAACATTTCCGGTTAGCATAAAACCTAAAAATTGTCATTTTCAAACCTGTAATATAACCGAAGGTTTACCATTTAAAGATGAAGAATTCGATTATATTTTTATGAGATATATGATATTTGCTTTGAAAGATCATCAATGGACTTATGTATTAAATGAAATAAAAAGAATTTTAAAACCAGGTGGTGTCTTTGAATGCGTAGATCGTGATGTTCTTCGTGAGTATAAAAAAAAATCATTGGTTTATTTAAATTTTTAATGATTTTGTATATATTACGTTCTATTCATTCATTATTTTTTTTAATCAAATAGCATTTAGGGCAGGCAAAACCATAACTGCTTTTGTTGAAAAATCTCGTATGTAATAATTTTAAGATTATTCCTTTCACTTTAGATAAATTTTCTTAATTTTTCACACTTAATTTATTTTTTTTTACTACGAAAGAAACCAAATTATATAAACAAAGAGAAATTGATATTCGATTCATAATAAAGCTTGAACCAATACTTAAAGAAATGGGATTTCAAAATGTGACTTGTTCACATAAGCACATACCTTTTGGAAAGTAAGTAATTTTTAATATATTCTTTTTTAATTATTTAAATTATTTTAAAATGGTTTTAAAATGTTTATTTCGTTTTTTTTTTAGTTGGGGTGGTAAAATTGGTGAAATATGGAGACTAAATTATTTAAAAATGGCTGAAACTCACAGAATAGTAATGCCTGAAATTTTAGGTATAACTGTTGATGAGTGGGATAGTGTATGTGCCAAGATAGATAAAGAACGTACTGAAAATCAAGAATGTGATGTTCATTATATTGTCTTGGCCACTAAGGATAAAAATAATTGATATACATAATTTAAATAATTTTATGAAAATAATCAATTAAAAAAAAAATAATAATTAATTAAGATTAATTAATAAAATTTAAAAAATAATTAATATAATTTCGTTTATAATACCTGATACTATCATTAATTATGTTAAATGATATGATAACGATATGTAGATCTGCAATGCTATCGTCACACGATGTATAAAAAAAAAAATACCGACATGTAACTTAACTTACAATGGATAATACGCATAGTCGATGTTGACCAATAATTAACCATAGGTTGTTAATCTTTGATTGGCCAATAAATTAATTACTTTGATAATGTAACATTTCACAAAGCGAAAGAACGTTTCCATCTTTATAAAAGCGTTAACTCTAATTATGCAAAAGAATCTCAAGAATTTTATTCTAATGTCAGAAGAAAAAACATTCTACTTTATCTTACATTGCATTACTGTATAATAAATGTCTGATTTATTGAAAAAAAAACCCGCATAGATTTATTAATAGTATAGCAAAAACACAGAACGTTTGTAAAAAAATAAATAAAAAAAAACTTTAATTGTCGTTATAAAATATTACAAATCCAAAATTGAATTTAACGCACAATAAAAAAAACATTATTATCAATAAATCAATACTGATAATACTGATAATATCGATAATACCGATAATAACAATATTAAAGAAATTCAATTTCATGTGATCACCAATCATGAGATTTCGATGCGTTTCATATGGTAGCAAAAAAAAAAAGCAAATACAAATTATTATTAAATAATTGAGAATACAAGGCTGTAAGAAATTAATAACTTTACATAAATTTGCAACTTCTCTATAAGAAAAAGAAAAATAAGGTTCAAAAAATTTTTTGTCAATACGTCATAATTTAATTTTTCTGTCCTATATTATATTGTGCTCATAGAAACTTTATTTAAGATTGTTCATTAATGCCATGTTGTTTGTTAAAAAAAACGCGATTTTAATTTTTTTTTTTTTTTTTCATAGTTCTTTTCTGTATGTAAATTAATTTCACATGCATCAAATAAATTATTATATAAAACCGGAATATTTAAATATTGTCGGAAATTTTTTATAATAGATTTTTTTTTTTTTTTATGCATAGATATAAGTACGTATGTATCGATATGTATAATTAATTATAAATTAAAAATTCAACAATTATTTGTACAGCTTAGGGAACATTCCGGGAGAATATCAATTTTTTTTTCACAAATATTACCTAATTGTTGATCATTATTACATTGAATATATGCACGTAAGTACGTGCGTATGTGCATATATTTTTTTCATACGTACATACTATAAACCACCCAGAAGTGTTCTTCAACATCTCTTGCAGTATTTGTATGTATCTACAACTTGCATGTTTCAAATAAAATTGCCGATTATATAAAATCTTATCGTTATAGGTTATACAAGTTGTATAATAATCATGTTACATTTTTATTTATTTTTTTTATACGTATCCGGAAATTTTTAATTCATCTGAATATGGTATACAAAAATTTGTAGTGGCTTACGTACGTACGGTACGTACGCGCGTACGTGCGAAAATCAAGATAGGTACTTACAGTACGTACGAAAATCAAGATAGGTACGTACTTACAGTAAGCACGCATTAGATCATAATAGAAAAATTCCGGCAAGTTTTATTACCTTCATACGAAAAAAAGATCTGTATGGCCCTAGCCATCAAAAGGATTTCATTTGTTAATCGTATGTACTTTCTATATATCCGTCTGAGTCTGTATCTGTATTAATTGTACGTAGAGATGGGCAAAGTAATTTTGTAAGTAATAATGACCTATGACTTATCCCTTACTTAATATTAAGTAATATTAAATAATTATTACATTCAATTATCTATTACGTATACATATGGAGACGGGTGATCAAAATTGAGATTGAACGAAAAGTTGTTATTAATGATAAAATTATTGTAAAATTACTTAATTATACTTATTCAAGGTAATATTAAGTAATACGTGCGTATTAAGTAATAATATGTAACTGACTTTGCCCATCTCTAATTGTACGCTTATGTGCGAAATTTAGTCACGTGTCAAAAACGTCACAACGAATGTAGGTTGTAATAGTTAAAACTTAATTAATTAAAAATGTCTTTTACTATTGATATAAATTTTCACAAGGTCGAAAAAAAAAATGAAATGATAAATCAACAAAGTTCTGTTTCATTTTTTAAACCTTAACACAAACCAACAAAAAATAAAATTCCATAAATTTTTTTTTCTTTTCAAATTTTACGACCTTTTACTATATATTTAACTCGAAAATCCTATAGCGACAATAAACAAAATGTGAATATGAATCTTTCTATCTTGTTTATTTGTGATAAAAATTTTTAGCATAATACGATAATAATATGTTGATATTGCTAACGAATCAATTTATATGCTACAAATTTTCGAACTTGAGAAAGGATATTATAAAAGTAAACAAAAAAATTGCTTATGTTCAAAACTGTAGCATTTTATAGGGAAAAGTTACTTCTTATGCATTTTTTATTTAGTGCTGTTAGATTCAAGTAACCTCACCAATAATTTTCTATTGTACTTTAGCTAAGGTTTTAGGCAAAATTCTAAAAAGTGT